GTGGCCGTGGGTAGAGTGCAGTGGCATCATCATAGCTCACTGCAACCTCAAACTCCTGGGCTCAAACGATCCTCTTGCCTCAGCCTCCCCAGTAGCTGGGACTACTGATGGCCCACAAAACTCGGCTAATTTTTCTGTTTTTAGTAGAAATGGATCTCTTGCTCAGGCTGGTCTCAAACGCCTGAGCTCAAGCGATCCTTCCACCTCGGCCTCCCAGAGTGCTAGGATTACAGGCGTGAGCCACCGCGCCCGGCCACATTATTATTAATGACTACATAAATTTTCCTTAATATGAATGCATTATATTTTTGAGACTCCTATTGTGAGATATTTAAGAATTTTTAACGTTTATAAACAGCACTGTTATAAAAAATAGAGATGTAGTCAAATTCCACTTTTGCTATTGATTTTTTGAGAAGGGATATTTACAAAATGATGTTGCTTTGAAATTTTTTATTTATGAGTACCTCTTTCAGTGAAAACTTGGCTATGGTTTCTCGGGAATTATCTTGTGAGCTAGATAATTTTGGGAAAGTGAGAAAATCTAACTGAAACCATTTTCAAATGCCTATGTAACAAAAGAGAAATCAGGGATCCATACGTAGCGCTAGTCTGAACATTGTATACGTCTTTTGTAGCAGTAATTATAGGGCGCCAGCATCGCTCACACCCTCCTCTCAGAATTACACCGGGCGGGGTCTCAAAGCCCTGCCCACCGCTATTGATCCGGTCCTGAGGTACCCAGACAGAGGACTCCGCACCGCCACAGCCCGGATGCAGAGAGGAATCATAGTAGCGATGCACCGGATGTATGAGTGGAAGTGACTGAGGTCAACTCACGACCGATTGGTTCTCCCGAATGGACCTAAGCCTACTTTCGCCTGCCACTGGCCCCGTGGTTTGTCTATTTGAACAGTCCCCGCCCCCTAGAGAAGCCGGGTCCTGAAGCTTCACTTCTCCTTCATTACTATTGGTCTGTGTCCAGGTCCATCTTCTTCTTACGCCTTTCGATTGGTTGTCTGGGGTGGAAGACCGCCTTCCCTCCCGCCCGGCTTAGAGGACAGCGGAGAAGGCGGGTGGTGGGGCTGGGGTCCTGAAGCGGCGGTACCGGCGCTGGCGGCGGTAGCTGAGGCCTTGGCCGAAGCCGCGCGGTGAGTCCGGGGCCTGGCACGACCCCTCCAAGGCGGCAGAGTGTCCAGACCCACGGCCAGCCTGTCCGTGGGGGGGCCCGGGGACGCCGCCCGTCTGGGACGTGAGGTCCCCGCAGTACCGGCCCCACGACCTGGGTACCGCCTGAGCCCTTGACCCTCACCCCGCGAGGCAACGCCCACCTCACCGGGATCCCCAGGAGACCCCTGGACCCTTCAGCCTGCTGTACGTCCCAGGCGCCAGAAGGCCGGCCCTTCAGCTCCAGTACTGCCCTGGCGCCTTTGGGTCTCCTTGCGCGGCACAGTCATCTCTTCTGAGCCACATACAAACTGTGGATCCCTGCTTCAGGGAGCACCTACGTCAGTGTCAGCTCCTTGCATTCCACCCTGGAGACCTCTCAAGGACTCAGTCCCCGGAACTGAGTTCGGTTCCATCCTTGGGGTTCGTCCTCTTTGCCTGACCCGCCCAATCCCTTGTTTCAGCCATCCAACTTTAACGTCCTTAAGTCTTTACCAAGACCCTTAGGATATTTGGCTTCAAGCAGTTTCCTTGAATTCAGCCTGAAGCAGATGGCCTGTGGGTCTTAGACCATAGAAAGATACACTGGTTCTTACCTGAGAATGGAAATTCCTTGTCAGCCTCCTTCCCCCTGTACATGCACACAAACTGTAGTAGTTTTCTTACTAGGGATCCTTAGGTTTCTTCTCCCCTGAAGGATGACATTTCCTTCTGCATTCTTTTTCTTGACACTGGAGTATTTGAAAGCTTCTCAAAACCAGTTATTCCCTGATTTTTCCTCTGCGTCTTACAAATTCGTTCAAGAATAAGAATTTTGTGAAATCGGGTTTCTAGTATAATCTGGACATACTTAGGATAAGTATATGTTACTCCCATGGCAGGGTGGGCTGAGCCCTATTATGGCCACTTTATTGTGGTTGCCTGATTATTTGTATTTACATCCAAGATTGTAAGCTTGTTGAGAGAAGGAACAGTATATAACTGAGTAATGAGTGAATGATTTCAGGAACTAATTGATCTCTTTTAGCTCACATTTGAAATACTGGTACTATTCTAAAGAACTGCATTGTCCAATACGATAACCATCAGCCACATGTGGGTACAGAGCACTTGAAATGTGACTAGTCCAAATTGGAATTGCTGAGTGTAAAATGCACACTACATTTTGGAGACTCAGTACAAAAAAGAATGGAAAATATATCAACATTTTTTATATTAATAACATGCTGAAATGATTTTTTGGATATATTGGGTTAAATAAAATACATTAATTTCACCTTTATCTTTTTACCTTTTTAATATGGCTACTAACAAATTTAAAAATATGTTTGTGGGTTATACTTCTGTTGGACAGTGGTGCTATAGAATAATAATCAGTCTCCCTCTTAGATTGAACTCCTTGAGGAAAGGGGCAGTATTCGTCATTTTTAGTTCTTTCCCTGCTTCCTGACCTTTGTTACCTGACATTGTGCCATGTACATAGTAGTAATAATAAAAATAGCTAACAATTATTAAAAACCTACTTTGTGCTCAACACTGTTTTAAACACTTTTTAACGTATAGTAACTTGTTTAATCCTCACATCAACCGATGAGTTGGCTACTATTATCTTCCTATGGTAGTTAAAGAAACAGAAATTTTAAGTGTCTTCTTCAAGGTATGTATCTTTGGAATGGGATTCAAACCCAGGTAGCCTAGCTCCATGGCCCACAATTTGACCCTCTTGTTACACTTCCTCTTTTAAACATCAGTCATTGCTGAATGAATCTAGACTTTCTAAATATTTTTTAATGAGATCTCCCAGTGTTTTTAGAATCTCCTACCTGACATGGGCTGGGTGGAGATCTGTGTTGAGGAACTGGAGCCATAAATAAATTTATCACCATAGCTTGTCATCCAGAATATTAAAGAAATCTTCTCTCTGAAGAACCTCAGGGCAAGATGCTTGGAACTGGGCCTGCCGCCGCCACCACAGCTACCACCACGTCTAGCAATGTGAGTGTTCTGCAGCAGTTCGCCAGTGGCCTGAAGAGCCGGAATGAGGAGACCAGGGCCAAAGCTGCCAAGGAGCTCCAGCACTATGTCACCATGGAGCTTCGAGAGGTTGGGCTTCTATGATTTGGGGCCAGTCATTATGGGATGTTTGGGCTAAATGTGCCATCACTGGTTTAGATTCCTTTTGACAGCTAAGTGAGGATTTGGAAAATAAAGAGATTCTGTTTTAGAAAGGCACCCAGCTTCACACACGCATAAAATGTGCAGGTTCCTTTGCAGTGGTTACACATTTCTGTGGCGTTTCTCATGTTTGTGTTTACATTTTAGGAGCCAACGCAGATTCGGCTGTTTCTTTTATTTTTTTCTTTTTTCCCTACCACATACAAGACCCTCAGTTCTTTCTGTCTGATAACAGTGATGGGGATCTCCAAACAGGATTTGGAGAGTTGAGAGCTTGTTTGGGGCTTTCTAAATAGAGCCCAGACTTGAATTCAGAGACAGTATGTTGTTCATCCTGGTACCCCTGGTACCAGGAAGAACCTAGGATAGTACGTTGTCTGCCCTAGAGTGATACTGAATAAATATTTGTGAAATAAACAAATGAATTGCAAGTTCAGTTGCTCTGTAGTTTAAGGCCAGGTGTGGTGGCTCACACCTGTAATCCAAGGACTTTGGGAGGCCAAGGAGGGAGGATTGCTTGAGGCCAGGAGTTCGAGACTACCTTGAGCAAGAGTGAAATTCCTTCTCTACAAAAAAGTAGAAAAATTAGCCAAGCACACACTTGTAGTCCCGGCTACTTGGGAGGCTGAGGCAGGAGGATCACTGGAGCGCAGGAATTTGAGGTCGAAATGAGCTATGATGATGCTGCCACTGAACTCTAGCCGGGGTGTTAGAGCAAGACCCTGTCTCAAAAAAACAAAAACAAAAACTGTGGAAATGGACAGTAACTTGTCTTCTTTGGTTTGAAGTGTATCTGCTACCTCTCAGGACCTTATCTTTAGATGCAGCCTGCTGCCATCACCACAGTCAGGGATTCAGTAGAAATTGTTCTGATTACATCTTCCCTTACAGATGAGCCAAGAGGAATCTACCCGCTTCTATGATCAACTGAACCATCACATTTTTGAACTGGTTTCCAGCTCAGATGCTAATGAGAGGAAAGGTGGCATCTTAGCCATAGGTAAGGACAGAGTCTCTGGTAACAATAACTGCTAGGAATAAAGGACCACCCGCCTTCGTGTCCATTGCACCCTGGATCTCCTACTTACTTAGTTCACATTTGTTTAATGAATTTTAAGGAGCCTGTGGCTTTCAGTGCTCTTATACAGGTGTTAAGTCTGGCAGCAATCCTGGGACGTAGACAAAACGTATTTTTAGATTGTGGAAGCTAAGTCTCAGAACCATGTAGTGACTTTTCTAGTGCCAGACAGTTTGCCAGACCTGAGACTAGAAGTCAGCTGTCTTTCCACTACCTCATGTTGCCTTTTGCAGACTGGTTTCTCACTAGAGCAGGGTTTGGCATAGTGGGGCTCACGAATGGAAAAGTGGAATCAGGGTGTAGTTAATAAAAGGCAGGTCATTTTCAATTTCCAAGGACTAGTTATCAATCCTGTGAATTACTCAGTTCCAGTTTGTTTTCTCTTTTTTGGGGAGGGGGAAACAAATTTTATATACTAATATGAGATCATTTTGCTTTATGTAAGCAGTTCTGGCACAGATATCAAATCTCTGAGTTAAAATGAAAACTGTCTGTGTCCGTGCCATCTAGAAATATACTCATAGTAGAATGAAGGGATCACTCACCAGCTTTCGTTTCAGGGCCATATACTTCCCTGGCCGGCAGGCATGTCATCATTTTTTGCCTTCCTCTCTTTTCCAGCCAGCCTCATAGGAGTGGAAGGTGGGAATGCCACCCGAATTGGCAGATTTGCTAACTATCTTCGGAACCTACTCCCCTCCAATGATCCAGTTGTCATGGAAATGGCATCCAAGGCCATTGGCCGCCTTGCCATGGCCGGGGACACTTTCACTGCTGAGTATGTGGAGTTTGAGGTGAAGCGAGCCCTGGAATGGCTGGGTGCTGACCGCAACGAGGGCCGGAGACATGCAGCTGTGAGTGCCTACAGGGAGGAGCACAGCCAGGCCTGAGAGCAATGGCACCATGTCAGAGTCTCTTCCTTCCTTCCAAGGCTCATCCCTGAAAAAGTCTGGTTCGATGGGCTAAGATTCCAGGCTGTGAGATGGAGAGAGTCTGTCCTTAAGAGAGGGAATCCAGGCATAGGTGTGTGGGGATCAGAAGCATCGGCTGAGTGCCTTCCAGTGAGCTCCCCCTTCAGGAGAGGCAGTACCACGAGGAGGGAGCGTGGTGCCAGGAGAGGGACACATACTTGACCCTTTGCTACTTCCTAGCAGTATAACCTGGGGCAACCTCTGACCTTCAGTTTCTTCATCTGTCAAATGAAAGTAATAACAAGATTAAACAGGATTATTCATTCAATAATTACTTACTGCATATATACTGTATTCTAGGCTGTTAGTGTGGTAGTGTAGAAAGCATAAAATACGTCTGTCCTTCCAGAGCTTATGTTCAAACATTACAAACATTCCATGTTTAGAAACAACCTAAGTAATGAATATTGAGATGTTTGATCAATTTTACTTCCTTTGTCCCCAGAATTTCCTAGCTAGAAGAGTGAGCAAGTGTTCTCTTTTCCTAGTGTGTATAGGCTCTAGGATGAGACGAGACGGTACTGAGAAAACAAAACTCTGACACAGGTGAGAGTTTTCAGTTTGCCTTTTTCTCCCAGGTCCTGGTTCTCCGTGAGCTGGCCATCAGCGTCCCCACGTTCTTCTTCCAGCAAGTGCAACCCTTCTTTGACAACATTTTCGTGGCTGTGTGGGACCCCAAACAGGCCATCCGAGAGGGAGCTGTAGCTGCCCTTCGCGCCTGTCTGATTCTCACCACCCAGCGTGAGCCGAAGGAGATGCAGAAGCCCCAGTGGTACAGGGTGAGGGGATGGCTCCCTTCCAGCCACCGGCAAGGCACATATACATAGAGAACCACCTGGCCTAAAGGGCAGCAACAGGCCCCTTGCCATGGAGCAAGTATCACATTTGTTTGATCCAGACAATTTTTTAGGTTACTTTATTGCTTTTCCTTAAACAAAGATCCATTGATAGCCACACCATCATTTTACACATCACTAAGGATGAAAATATGCCAATTAAACTGGGACTCAGTGCCTTCTTATCAACAATTATAAAACATCTCTTTTCAGAAATGTTAAAATAAGGAAAAATAGGTGTCTCAGAATCAGTGAACTATGGTTGATACTAATTTAGGAAGTGCTAGTTCTCTATGCTCTGGTATCATGAGTCCTGTGCTGATTGCTACTGCCGGGGGAGCTTACTAATGAGTCTTATAAAAAGAGCCCTGAATATGGGGTTGGGAGACCTGGGTTCAAGTCTTGTCTTTTCTGTGTGACCTTGGACAGTCACTTAATTTCCTTCGGCCTGCGTTTTTAGCTATTAAATAGGGATGATAATGGTATCTGCCTTAAGGGCTTGTTATGAGAATCGAAGCTAAATTAAATAAGAGCTTGACAAGATAGTATCATTGATCGTACTGGCACAAGGCACTGAGCAGACATGATAACCCCTAGGACCCCATCATAGGTGGGACAGGCCTGTGCTCTTTCTGGCTTTGATCACTGGGTAATTAAGGCATTCTGTCTCTACGTAGCACACGTTTGAAGAAGCAGAGAAAGGGTTTGATGAGACCTTGGCTAAAGAGAAGGGCATGAATCGGGATGATCGGATCCATGGAGCCTTGCTGATCCTCAACGAGCTGGTCCGAATCAGCAGCATGGAGGGAGAGGTGAGAAGCTGCGGCAGAGGGGAGTCCAGACTTCTCATGTGTAGTCTGTGAGCAAGGCAAGGTGGGATCCATGTCCTTGTGGAGCTGACGTTTTATGGGGGGAAACAGACAATAAACAAGTAAACAAGATAATTTCAGATAGTGACAAGTCCTATGAAAAATGTAAAATAAGCAGTAGGATAGAAGATTCCAAGGGGAGGGGGTGAATGGAGGGTCAGAGAAGACCCTCCCTGAGGGTGGTGCCATATGAGGGAGACCCGAGTGACATGAGCAGTGGCCTTGCAGCAGGCCACGGGGCTATGTTCCAGGTTGAGGCTTTGAGGCGGGAGAGAGTGTGACAAACTGATGAAGCAGAGAGAAGGGAGGTGTGGCTAGTGCACCATGAGCAAGGGAGGGAAGGAAGGGCCAAATTAATAGGCCCATGGTTCACGGTAAACACTGGCTTTTATGCTAATTGCAGGGGCAGACACTGGAGATGTGCACACGGGGGAATGGTGTGATGTCATGTGTTTCTAACAGTCACTGGCTGCTTGTAGGGAAAAGCACGTGGAGAGGCAGGAATGAAAGCAGAGAGACCAGTTAGGAGAAGGTGTGTTCATTTGAGAACTGGGTTTAAAAGTGTGAGGGCAAGATTGTATTAGGCAAATAGCTTCAGGAGAAAATGGGGAGGGAGCTGAGATAGGCTGAGAGAACCATCAGACCATAAAACACATCTGACCTTGAGGAATAAGAGAGGGAAAAAAATTGGACAGAAACCTTCTAGTCTTCCTTGCAAGGCGATTGTGGTGTGCTCAAGCCAGTTGGTTGTCAGAGGAAGCCTGTATCTCGTGGGAGCAGGCCTGCCTTAGCATCCCTGCCGTGTTCTGTCATTGGCTGGAAGTAGCCCAAGGAAAGTGTGGCCCTGACACAAACTTGGTGGTGGATTTCAGAGCAGCAGCTGGGGCCCTTGATCATTTACATCTATTGTAGTTGGAAGGTGTATTCTTGCAGCTGCCACAGGAAGCTATTACAGTAGTCTGGGTGAGCTACAGTGGTGGCTTCCACTGCGAGTGGCAGCACAGACACTGAAGAGTAGTTGGATTCAGGATGCATTTGGGAGGTAGAGTGCCATCTGTGAGACTTCCTGTGGGGAGCTAGTCGGTGCGGAATTTCACCCCAGGGCTGCCGGCTATAACAGACCGTGTGCTTGTTTGGTGATGGCCGTGCCCTGCACATAGGGGCAGCACATGCAGCCGTGTGCAGAAGCAGAGGAGTCTGGCGTCAAATCGCCACTCCTCCTCAGAGGAGTCCTACAGTCCACAGTCATCCATACTGTGTGACTCGGACAAATTACTTTATCCCTTCAGCCTCATTTTCCTCACTTTCAACAGGGGCTCTGACCCGCCTCAATGGGTTCTTGTGAGGTTTCTAAATAAAGCTGGCCCTCTGCATCCATGGGTTCCACATCTGTGTTTTCAAGCAACCACCAATCAAAAATATTCAGGAAGTAATTAATAAAAATAGCAACACAACAATTAAAAATAATGTAAATTTTAAAACAATATAGTGTAACGACTAATTATCGATACATAGCATTTACGTTGTACTAGGTATTATAAGTAATATAGACATTTAAAGTGTATAGAAGGACATACATAGATTATGTACAAATACTATGTCATTTTATATAAGGAACTTGAGCATCTGCAGATTTTGGTTTCTACAGTAGGTCCTGGAACCAACCCCCATGGATACTAAGGGAGAACTGTGTATGAAGTGCCCAGCATAGCGCTGATAACATAGCAGACATCCTGTAAAAGGAAACCCTCAGATTTCCCCTCCCAAGTTTAACATGGTACTTGCCACTGTAGCCCAGGCAGCTGTAGTTCTTTGTTTCCTCTCAGTAAGACAGGACAATATCACCTAACACATAAGGTGGTTATGAGATTTAAGTGAAATAGTTCTTGTGAAGGTGTTTTGTAAATTATAAGAAACTATCTGAATATAAGGTATTAAAGTTTCATAATTTGGTCACTCATTCAAATCGTATTAATCAGACACCTAGTATATGCCAGCTATGCCATGTCCTAAAAGCTAGAATAATGCAGCAGTGAACAAAACAGATTCCATTCTAATAGGGGAAGACCGACAATATGCAAATAAGTAAACATATATTGTATATCATATAGTTATAGGTGCTGTGGAGAAAAGTAGGCCAACAAAGGGGAATAGAGAATGTTAGCATGGGTTAAGGATTACATTTTAAAATATGGTGACATTTGGTCAGGTGTGGTGGCTGTAATCACAGCACTTTGGGAGGCCAAGGCAGGAGGATCACTTGAGCCCAGGAGTTCGAGACCAGCCTGAGCAACATAAAGAGACCCTGTCTCTACAAAAAATAAAAATTAGTTGGGGGCAGTGGCTCATGGCTGTAATCCCATCTACTCAGGAGGCTGAGGTGGGAGGATCACTTGAACTCAGGAGGTCCAGCCTGGATAACAAAGCAAGACCCTGTCTCTATAAAAAAATGAAATAAAAAATATGGTGACATTTGAGCACAGTCATGAAGGAGGTATGAATAAAGCTTTGCAAGTATCTGGGGAAGAGCATTCCAGGTAGCTGGCCTTTAGGCAGGAGCGTGCTGGTGTATTTGGGGAGCAGCAAGAAAGCCACTGTTGCTGAGCAAGGCAAGCAGGAAAGGGGGGGTTAGAGGAACACCTGGGACAGGGAGGGGGCATATCACACAGTGCCTTGGAGGCCACGGTATGGCCTTTGTGTGGGAAGTGGGAAGCTATAAGTGGGTTTTGAGCAGTAGAGTGACATTTGACTTGTTTCAAAAGGATCACTCTGGCCACAGTGTGGAGAATGGATTGTCAGAGGGCCAAGGGCCGAAGCCAGGAATCCAGTTAGGGGGGAACTGCATCAGTCTTAGCAGGGGATGTTTGCAGCTCAGACCACAGTGGGAGCTATGGTGGTACAAGAAGCAGCTGGATTCTGAATTTGGAATTTGCTCATAGCTTGGAGGTGGGTGGGGAGCAAGAAGAGTCAAGATGTTTGGCCTGAGCATCTGGAAGGATAGCGTTGCCATTTACCGCGATGGGAAGACTGAGATGGGAGGAGAAGGTTTGGGGCAGAAGGTTGGGAGTTTGGTTTTGAACCTGTTAAGTTCGAGATGCCTGTTGGATAGGTGAGTGGAGATGCTGAGTAGTTCTTGGGAAAGATCTGGGAGAGAGGTACGGATTTGGGCATTGTCAGCATATAGATAGTATTTCATTGTGGGACGTGGGGAGAACCACAAGGGAACTAGTGGAGTTGGGGAAGAGACAAAGTCTGAGAACCTGAGGGATGAAGAGGAACCAAAGGAAACCAAGAAGGAGCAGCCAGGAAGGGAGGAGGGGAGCCAGGAGAGTTTGGAGTCAAGAAGCCAAGTGAAGAAAGGGCTTCAAGGAGGAGGAAATATCAGTTGGATCAAATGCTATGGGTAAGTCAAATAAAATAAGGACTGAGAATTGACGATTAGATTTAGGAGCATAAGAGTCATTGTTGACTTGACAAGAACAGTGGACAAGATTTTCCAAAAAATGAAAATATCTGTGTCAAGAAAAGTTTGAAAATTTGGAAAACTTTTATATCCTTCTGAATTTGAACTGTTGGAAGATGAGTTATTAAGCAGCCCTTTGAAAAAGGAATAGACATGTGTTCTCAGCCAATTTATTCCATACCCTTTGTGGAATCCTAGCATTCTGAGAAAATTACATGCGTAACTATCTACCTAGGTTTCTGGGGAGAAGAAAGAGACCGGAATATCTTTAACAGGATGCTTGCGTGAGGCCGTCCCTCATCTTGGCAAGCCTTGTTGCCGTGATCTTAGGTATACAGTCAAAGCCGTTTGCAAGACGGCCCTCTCAAACCAAGTGAGGTGGGAGCTCTTGGCAGCCAGCCCCCTGCCTCTGCTTCATTGCTCCGTAGGTGGTGCTCGTCTACCTAAATTAGAGCAGAATCCCCCCTGCAAGGATCTGGGGAAGTCATAATCCCAAAGATGAAGAGTGGCCACCCTCCACTTTGGAAATAGTTGCATTTCAGGATTGGGCAAATGTCTGCCCTGAAGACTTCACAGTGCCCAGGCTGAATGCCACTCATAAGTAAAGATGATTTTTTCCCCCTCATGTATATAGCGTTTGAGAGAAGAAATGGAAGAAATCACACAGCAGCAGCTGGTACATGACAAGTACTGCAAAGATCTCATGGGCTTCGGAACGAAACCTCGTCACATCACCCCCTTCACCAGTTTCCAGGCCGTCCAGCCCCAGCAGTCAAATGCCTTGGTGGGGCTGCTGGGGTACAGCTCTCACCAAGGCCTCATGGGATTTGGGGCCTCCCTCAGCCCAGCAAAGTGCACCCTGGTGGAGAGCCGGTGTTGCAGAGACTTGATGGAGGAGAAATTTGATCAGGTAAATGGTGAGAGGTCCTTACCCTCTTCTCCTAAGCTCCACACCTCACTTTCCTCCGCCAACCCTTTATCCTTCCTCTCTCAGGTGTGCCAGTGGGTGCTGAAGTGCAGAAATAGCAAGAATTCGCTGATCCAAATGACAATCCTTAATTTGTTGCCCCGCTTGGCTGCATTCCGACCTTCTGCCTTCACAGGTGAGGATGTCCATGGAAGACATCATTACCCATCGAAGGGTAATTAAACAGGGAAGAAGTGATTCTGAAAAGTTATATCTGCTCATTTGAAGCAACACCCACGAAGGGGCTAGTCTCTGATTTCTTTGCCTCATGTCCAATTTTGGTGGTGTCTAGTTCATGTTTTCTGCTAATGTCTGAGGCAGCAGACACAGGAACAATCAGAATGTGTAGACAGAGAGGCACTTCTAGGGCCAAGCAAGTTCTCATGGATGGATGTCAACAAGTCCATGAATGGACTTAAAAGAGACCAAAAGAAGGGCAGTTTCAGTGTAGATACTGTGCAGCAGCCTCTCTTTGGAGCAGGGAGGGTTTGGTGACTACCCTGCTTTTCCTGAGGTCGTCACCGAGTCACTTGCAGGAAGGAAAAGACTGCATGCTTCAGAGGCAGGTTCCACAGGTGATAGACTGTGGGTTCCCGTATTCCTGCCCTGTCTTCAGTGGGCAGTATAGATTCCTGGCTCCTGAAGCTGGCCCAACTCATGTGCCAGCTTCTCCATGAAGCCTTCTTGGATTGCGCCAGCTGTAAATGTATTTTTCCTTTCTCCTGTAGCCTTCAGCGGTGGAAAGGCTTTGGCATTAGACCTGGGGTGAATCCCACCTCCATCCTTAACTATGAGGTTTTGGACAGGTTATTTGACCTACCTGGGTCTCTACTTCCTGACTTATAAAAATCAGAGTAACAATGCCTGCCTCCCAAGATGAACAGCATTAATGCCTAAGCACCCACTGTAGTGCCTGGCACAGAGTTAGCCCCAATAAATGGAAACCATTATTATATTATTACTATTTCCTCGAGTTACTTCAGATCCATTTTGGAAATAAGATAGAGCTAAAAGTTATACTCCAGTTGTCTGTTCATACTTAATATCCTTGTCTTAACCTCCCTGCTTGCTGAGTGTGGAGACCCAATCTCTAACATCTCTTTGCACTCTGCTGTGGTGCACATTGCCTGTGCTTAGTAGTGTTCAGGACTGGATGAGAGCCGGGAGTGTAGGAAAAGGACAGCCTTGACCCTCAGCAGACCCCATTCCCTAGCACACAGATTCATTTCACACTACCCGCGGGAGAAATCTAGCCGGTGAGGTGTTAAACATGCTGTGCGTAAGAAGCAGAACATATTGGATAAGGTGGAGATGATTAGCCACATGAAATCACTGAACCAGAGAGAAATGATAGAGTAAAAATAAAAATAAAAATCACCCATATTTTATCAGTTTCCATTCTTCCTACCCGACACCCAGCAGCTTTTTTCTTTTTTAATGATCAGACATGCCCCTATTCAGTAGAGCTTTAAATTATCTCGGGTCGAAAATCTATGGTTCAAAAGAAACTAACAACGAAGCAAAATTTGATCAAAGTCTTGTTTGTAGAAGCTGTTATCCTTGTAAGTTCATAAAGGCTCAGAGGGCCCTTACATTTATTCTTTTGAAGTGAGTTTTTGTTGTTTTTTCTTCTTTTTAAGCTAGTTAATGTTTTATTAAATATACCAAATATAATAAAATATGTCAGTGACATTTAACCTGGGCAGTCCCCATAAGAATATGCCTCATTGTGTAAGTACCACTTGTTTAAATCTTGCAGTTTGGAAGTCATTGCTTGAACTTCCCAATGGTGTATGCTTTTCGAAGTATCAAAAATACTCACCCTAAGACTGGGTTGAATTCTCTACAAAGTCAGATTTCTAATCTCTCAGGGTGCTAAACCTGGAAAAGGAAATTATACTCTTGACTTAAGTTCATTTCCTGCTGAAATGCTGTCCCCATATGTAAAGGGCTGGTTTTCCTGTTGATGCACTCTAATTTTAGGGTTGTATCACCCTGGTCTGTCTGTTTTCAAGCCCTAATGTGCCTCGTTGCCATTTGACCACAAGAGCTGTGGGAGAAGACATTTCTCATTAGAGTAAATGCAGTGATGTATAACTGCCGTCTTAGGAGTCTAGTGCACTGTCTAAATGTGGTTTTGGTAGCCCTCAACACCCCTAACTTTCCAAGGATGTGTGGCCTTGCCTTCTCTGCTGTTATATATGTGCTACGGGTGCCTGGACATGAGGCAAGCATCGATGGAAGAGGGGAAACAGACGAGAGTCAAGAATCAGGAAATTCCAGCCTTCAGAGGAGAAATAACACTTAGCTTAAATTGCCCAAGAATCATCTACCCATGCACACTGGCTTGTGTAAACTTAATGAAAATACACATATGGCTTTCCAAATTACAGACTAAATCTTGGTTCTATTAAATACAACAAAAATCTCTAGGTAATAGCAAAGTGATTTCCAAGCCTAAGCTGAATGGAATGGCCTATTTATTATAAACAATATTCAATATTCCAGCCATGCATTGCTTAACCATGGGTGTACATTCTGAGAAATGCATCATCGTCAGGCAATTTCGTTATTATGTGAACATCACAGAGCGCACTTACACAAACCCAGGTGGTAGAGCCTACTACGTACCTGGGCTCTGTGGTGTAGCCTATTGCTCCTGTGTTACAAACCTGTACAGCATGCTACTGTACTGAATACTGTAGGCCAGCAGTCCCCAACCTTTTTGCACCAGGGACCAGTTTCATGGAAGACAATTTTTCCATGGGCCAGGGAATGGGGGGGTGCTTTCAGGATGATTATAGCGCATTACATTTATCATGCACTTTATTATTATTACATGGTCACTTGCCACTCACTGATAGAGTTTTGATATGAGTCTACAAACGATTAATTATGGTCTCTGTACAGTCAAACCTCTCTGCTAATGATAATCTGTATTTGCAGCCACTCCCCAGTGCCAGCATCGCTGCCTCAGCTCCACCTCAGATTGTCAGGCATTAGATTCTCATAGGAACATGCAACTTAGGTCCCTCACATGTACAGTTTATGGTAGGGTTCTCACTCCTGTGAGGATCTAATGTTGCTGTTGATCTGACAGGAGGTGGAGCTCAGGCGGTGATGCGAGTGATGGGGAGCAGCTGTAAATACAGATGAAGCTTTGCCTGCTGCTCACCTCCTGCTGTGTGGCCCAGTTCCTAACAGGCCACAGACCAGTATCGGTCTGCAGCCCAGGGGTTGGGGACTGTAGCTGTAGGCAATTAAAACACATTGGTAGTATTCGTATGTCTAAATATATCTAAACACAGAAAAGGTACAGTAAAAATAGAGTATTATAATCTTATGGGACCACGATCGTATATGTGGTCCATCATTGATTGAAACATTGTGTGGTTCATGACTGTACTTTAAATTTTGTTACAATATATTAATAAAATAAAATAATTTAGATGATCCTCTTTGTTTTGATGCAAGATTTAACATATTTCTTAACAAAGAGCACGTAATCTTTCTCTCAAGATGGCCGGGCGCAGTGGCTCATGCCTGTAATCCTAGCACTCTGGGAGGCGGGAGGATTGCTCAAGGTCGGGAGTTCGAGACTAGCCTTAGCAAGAGCGAGACCCTGTCTCTACTAAAAATAGAAAGAAATTAGCTGGACAACTAAAATATATAGAAAAAATTAACCGGGCATGGTGGCGCATGCCTGTAGTCCCAGCTACTCGGGAGGCTAAGGCAGAAGGATTGCTTGAGCCCAGGAGTTTGAGGTTGCTGTGAGCTAGGCTGATGCCACGGCACTCTAGCCTGGGCAACAGAGCGAGACTCTGTCTCCAGAAAAAAAAAAAAAAATGTAACACTAATGGAGGCAATTATATACTATTGTTTTGGAGACCCTTTTAAGTTTTTTTTTTTTTTAATTAAAGGAAAAAAATCTCGTATTTTTAATGTTTCCAAAAGATGTATCTGAGGAGTGGTTATCTTATGAAGCATAAGATTTTAGTTCATATATCCTCTAAATTCCTCTTGACATCTTTCCAATGGGCTTTCTTAATTTATTCTCAAATTTAAGTGCTTTATAGGAACTCTGACCATTGATGTATTGACCAACCCTCACCTTGAGCCGCCTACTTTGTCTTTTCTGTGCTCAGATACCCAGTACCTCCAAGATACCATGAACCATGTCCTAAGTTGTGTCAAGAAGGAGAAGGAACGTACTGCAGCCTTCCAAGCCCTAGGACTGCTTTCCGTGGCTGTGAGGTCCGAGTTTAAGGTCTACTTGCCTCGTGTGCTGGACATCATCCGAGCAGCCCTACCCCCTAAGGACTTCGCCCATAAGTAAGCATCTCTGTTACAATTTCACCTTCCACTCCCGTTGGTTGGAAAGGAAGGATGCTCCATCCTGGTCCCATGGAGCTTAAGCCCATTCTGTACATCATTAAACTCCAGGTATAACACATGGTGTAATGAACACCCTTCCTCACTTGAATTCTAACCTTTTCCAAATGAAGTGACATACCTATAAATCTTTTAGGAGGTTAAAACCCTTAGAACATGGTAGATACCCGTGCTGTTTTCATTATTATTGTTGATTGAGAGTTCCCCAGTTTGGGTTTTCTCTGGCTTTCAAAGATCTTATTTTGATATAAGACTTAAAGAGAGGAATCCTTGCCTGGAACTAAATGGACCTAATGGTCATCTTTTTCCTTATTGCTAAAATTGAATAAGTTATTCCCCGTCTTTAGACCTCCCAATGAATAAAATAATGAGAAAAACCTTCAGCATCCTGCCAGATGAAGAGGCTAGGGGGTCATCATTAATTGGCTTTAGTCTTAGGGTTGTGTTCTTACACTTCCCTGTTCTATTAGCAAGGATTTCTCCGGTGAATTAGTAAGCCCCACTCATTCTAGAGCCCAGTGGCCTCATCATAGGCAGAAGAATTTCCTTGCACATGATGGGTGTGCCTTGCCCTCTGGTCCCCGATGAACACATCGTTCGGTTTGCGTCCTAAATAAGTGCGTTGGTTAGCACCGCACTGACTCATGTGGTGCCTCTGTGAATTCAGAAGGGCCCCTTTCCTTAAGACACTTTACTGCCATCTGCTGGATTGTCATTAGAAACACAAATCTACAGTGACCATGATGCAGTGGGACCCCAAGAGTTGTGCAGTAGACAACCTGCATATCCACAGGTGGTGACCTTGCCTGAGTAACCTGCCTTCCTTGCCCCACGGTGATTTTGAGGTGGGACAGCACAGAATGTCATTGCGTCCAAACCAGCCACTCCTTGTTTCTCTGCAGAAGGCAGAAGGCAATGCAGGTAGATGCCACCGTGTTCACTTGCATCAGCATGCTGGCTCGAGCGATGGGCCCAGGCATCCAGCAGGATATCAAGGAGCTGCTGGAGCCCATGCTGGCGGTGGGGCTGAGGTGAGTGCCGGAAAACCTAAGCCTTCCCTGTCTCAGTTAGTGGGAGGCTTGGTCCGCAGTGTTGGGACCACGTTAAAAGAGTGAGGCATGGTTGTTAGCACATTAAATTGGGTAGGCCAGATAGCTCAGAGTAACACATAGGCTAGTGTTGAATCCTAGTTTCATTACTAGCTAGCTATGTGCTCTTGACTAAGTTATTTAACTTCTCTGGGCCTCCATTTTCTCATCTGAAAAGTGGGTACAATAGCAATTCCTATTGTCTAGGGTGGTTGTGGGGATTAAATGAAAGAGTTCATGGAATAGTTACTCTTCGCACAGTGCCTAGCATGTGGAAAGCACTCAATAAATGTTTACAGCTATTGTTTATATTATTATTGAGCTAATTGTTTAAGCTCCCTAAACTTTAGTTCTCCTCATCTATAAAACAAAGGTGATGGCCACACGCAGTGGCTCATACTTGTAATCCTAGCACTCTGGGAGGCCGAGGCAGGAGGATCGCTTGAGGTCAGGAGTTCGAGACCAGCCTGAGCAAGAGTGAGACCCCATCTCTACTAAAAATAGAAAAAATTAGCCGGGCATGGTGGCACATATCTGTAGTCCCAGCTACTCAGGAGGCTAAGGCAGGAGGATCACTTGAGCCCAGGAGTTTGAGGTTACAGTGAGCTACGATGATGCCACTGCACTCTAGCCAGGGTGACAGAGCGAGACCCTGTGTCAAAAATAAATGTGTATGTGTGTGTGTAGGTATATATATGATGCTCTTGATCTGCGTCCCAGATTGTTGAGACTTGGTCTTCTGTAGTGGCTGAATTATAGTGAGCAAGTTCTCCTGTGGCAAGACCAGAAACTCATAGGTTGTTCTGGAATCTGAGACCAGGCCAAGAGTGTTCAGCACATTTATTCTTTTTTATAGTATTCTTTCCACTTTAAAGATCAAGCAGTGATGGGGCCTGATCCCCTTGCTAGCGAGAAAGGTGGTTTCTTCCCAAGGACACACTGAATGTCATGTGCCCATCCCCATGTGTGACTGGTTTCCTTCCCCTCAGCCCTGCTCTCACTGCTGTGCTCTACGACCTGAGCCGCCAGATTCCACAGCTAAAGAAGGACATCCAAGATGGGCTACTGAAAATGCTATCCCTGGTCCTTATGCACAAACCGCTCCGGCACCCAGGCATGCCCAAGGGCCTGGCCCATCAGCTGGCCTCCCCTGGCCTCACAACCCTCCCTGAGGCCAGTGATGTGGGCAGCATCACTCTTGCCCTCCGAACCCTTGGCAGCTTTGAATTTGAAGGTAAGAAATGACAGTGGCTCTTGCCGACATAGTGAATGATGCTAGGAACCTTGAGAATGGAATGAAGGTGCTAGAATTCCTGGATCTTACTGGGGTCCTGGAAACAGGGTAGCAGATTCTGTAGCACTTCATCCTTCCTAGACTATTTCCATATATTGTTAACTCCTACTATTTGTTTCTTTTTTCCATACTGAACTTTGGAGCAGAGAGTGTTCAGGAAAAATATGCATTGATGCACAGAAATAATGTTTCAGAGATGGAAAAATCAGAGATTCATCCCCCTCATCTTCTCACCTTCTCAGTTCCCTATAGCTGAGATGGTATTTAATGTTTTAAAATATATAAGCAGGGAATTTTGGATAGTTGCATTCCTATGGCAGTGTGATTTCTAAGAGTGCTGTACCACATAGTTCAGTTTGGAATTCTAAGCTACAGATAAACTCAAATTATTACCCTAGGGTGATATATTTCAGGAGAAACAATGAATACTTTGGAAATTTAGTATCAGTCAAGGTACAGGGTAGTATCAGTCAAGACTACAGGGAAACAAGCAAGTACAAAAAGCCTAAACGTGTGGAGACATAGCCATCTGTGGTTTCCCTATTAAAACTCCTTCACATATTTAATACATTAGCACCCACAATAATTTGTTCCTAATGAATAGAAAGCACCTATGTTTAAGCCCAGCCTATATCAAACTCTGTTTAGTATTTAAATCTGGGTGCTAAAATAGACAAGGTAAATTTGATTAACAGTTGTTTTGTCCTCTGGGAATGTAAGGTGTTGGATTAGAACGAAACAAAATAATCTTTGAAGGGAATATAGAAAAGGTTAAAATGGGGAAGGGTACCTTTTATCTGTCTCCCTGCTCCTTCACCACCCTGTTTTGCCTTTCTGCTGATGGGAAACCCATTTCTTACCCTTTAAGAGAAGAGTTCTGGATCAATATCTTGTTGATCAATATCTGGTTGAAAATGGAATTCGTAGCCACAAATTGGAAAGTGCAGCTGTCAAGTTGCAGACCTACATATCCAAAGCAGCAGTGTTTATTCTGTTTCCTTTCTACCTTTGTATCCAGGCCACTCTCTGACCCAGTTTGTCCGCCACTGTGCGGATCATTTCCTGAACAGTGAGCACAAGGAGATCCGCATGGAAGCTGCGCGCACCTGCTCCCGCCTGCTCACACCCTCCATCCACCTCATCAGCGGCCACGCTCACGTGGTTAGCCAGACTGCAGTGCAAGTGGTGGCAGATGTGCTCAGCAAACTGCTCGTGGTTGGGATAACAGACCCTGGTAAAGCTTACCAGAAAGCAGTCTAGGGGAGTTTAGGATCTTGAGACAGGTGGAAGTAGTCAATTTCTTTCCACGGCCTCTCTAGAGATCTTCAGTCTCAACAAACTGGTGTTCATCTATTTCTCTGCCAGGGCATTAGACTTGGCTACTCCAGCCCATTAGTATAAGATAATCTGTCTTTAATTCTTTTACCATTACTCCTATGAGTAGAAGAAAGAAAGAAGTTTAGATGAGAGAAAGGTATCTGGAATCTTCCTAATATGCCAATGGCAGTGGAGGTGGAAACTGGGAAAGGACTGGAGGGATGGGATCATGAAAAGGTATTCAAAGGCTCAATTGCTCTTGCAGACCCCGACATTCGCTACTGTGTCTTGGCATCCCTGGATGAGCGCTTTGATGCACACCTGGCCCAGGCAGAGAACTTGCAGGCCCTGTTTGTGGCCCTGAATGACCAAGTGTTTGAGATCCGGGAGCTGGCCATCTGCACTGTAGGGCGACTCAGTAGCATGAACCCAGCCTTTGTCATGCCTTTCCTGCGCAAGATGCTTATTCAGGTAATGATAAGCAAACCTACAGGCAGTGGGGAAAGGATGCTTACTGTGAGAGCTGCTTGGGGAAGGAGAGTTGAGGACAAGGAAGGGGGAGAAAGATTGAGATGACCTAATAAAATCCAAATGTGGTTCCAAGGGTCCACATATTTCCCCAGCTTTGTGATTGCAGTTCTGTGCTCATCACCTCTTGAGCCTTTTGTCAGCATGACTCCAGGCTGCTTCGTAGTCCCATGCTAACCACTCATGCAGCTCTTCTTCCTGGCGCATCACCAGTGATTCCATTTCTTGGCCTTTTGCTCACTTGCTTGCTTGATCTGCTGCAGATGGTTTCCATCTTCACTCTCCTTTTCCTGCTGATGCCACGTCAAGCACAAAGGCCATTGTTCTTCACAAAAATAACAAGTGTGAGAATAGTTCCAACATTTTATTTTCATGGTCATAGCCTCTGGTCTGTGGTCCCTGGCTTTTGTTCTTAAATAATGAGAGGTGCCAAGCTAAGCTACTTGGAGTAGAGCCTAAGGTAGATTAAGGTTGGCATTGCTACAGATCTGGTAGGATTTTCAGTTCTTGCTGAAATGTGGCTCCTTGATTTTTGTCTTCACCTACCCGAGTGAGTTCTCTGGCCTCCTCGAGAGCGATGCATGGTCTAGTCCTTCCTGCCTCCGGTCATTTGCACCCACCTCTTCTGGGTCTCGCCCAGTTGTTTCCTGTCTGACTCCCACCTTCTGCTTCCTGACACTCCCCCATGGTTTCTTTTGAAATAAACACTTTTCATAACATATAAAGAACTTAAACATAGAAAATCATTAATATGTGTAACTTACTCTAGAGAAATATTTATTCACAATTTGTCATAATTAAAGTAGCTGTAAATTATATCATCAATCAAATTAGAAAATTGTACTTACGTTGGCACTTCTGTTTTTAGCCTAATGATTTATTTAGCTGTTGGCTCATATTAGGAGTGCCTATCATTTTAAGTCTTTTTAAAATACCTAGGGTTTGAGAAGGAAAAGAAATCATTGTTGAGCCTGCCAGCTCAAATTGTGTTAAATAAGTTTGGCATAGAAATACCTCCTAATGAAAAAGCCAAGTGCGGTGGCATGCGCCTTAATCCCAGCCACTCAGGAGGCTGAGGTAGAAGGATCTCTGGAGCTCAGGAGTTTGAGATCAGCCTGGGCAACATAAAAAAAAAAAA